AGAATATTAATTTGACCTCGCGTGGTATTCGGTAAGAAAATTCCACGCCGAATTATGGTTGAAAATTAAATATTTTTAAAATTTATTTTTCGTTTCTCAACAATGCAAATTATTTTCTCCAAGTCACCAGTGAAACATAAAAGGTGTTGTCGCCTTGATTGTTGAGTTGTCATGGTAACTAAGTGAGACCCTAACCTCGAATATAATTTCAGTTTTGAAGTTGTCAAGCGGCCCGACGTAAAAAAATGTTTCGCTGCAATTATTTAGGCCTTCAAATTGCTTATTTCTACTCATTGTAGTTGCATGGGAATACCATTTGAAAATAGATAATAGTATATTCTTTAATTTTACGTAAGTTTTGAATAACCACAAGTGGTAGAAAATTGTTTTTCTGCGTTTTTATTAACATGCGTTATGAGCGCTTTAAAATGGTACGAAATTCATAACCAGCGTCAGCAAGCATCAATCGTAGGAGGCTGTGATCATTGTATTTTGACAGTTCAAAACATTAAATAACTCGCGTTTTGTTGCGATAAAGAATATTGCACAGCAAGTAAAACCAACAAAATTACCTATTTGTTTAAAAATGAATCGATTTGAAAATCATACGCTATGCAAAATATGCGTGAAATTGTCTGATGTAATGATCAATCATTGCACCATGACTTACTTACTCGGATTCATAGAGAATTGTGGCTCCAACTTGAAAAACGATAATTTGTTCCAAATTGTCCACGAATATTTGTACCTAAACTACGCAAAATTCAAAGTGCTGAATGGGAAAAAGGTGAATAAATTAGTGTCTAAATATTATATATATTTTATTAGACATAGACACATAATTAAAAGCATCCAAAGTCCTGCATTTTCACCATTAAGAAGAAAAGAAGTGGCCGAAGAATATAGAAAACACCTTAGCATTGTAACTAAAATGTATCAAAACTAAACCTATTATGTGAACAAATAAAAACCAGTCTGTCAAAAATGGTCTGTTATTGTAAACGTCAAAAAATTTCCAGTATAATTCGCTGTTGGGTACCCCACGAGAAAAAAATGTCCACTAAAATACCTCCGTTGCCATGGTGATCTGTCAAAAACACGTATTTTGATTGGTTCAAAATTACAGGTGTGGAATTTTGTAAAAAACTCAAACTGGTTAGCTTACAATAAATTAACTTCAAATTACAATAAAACAGGTTATCTGCCTTTTACTTTTTATAATTCTGGTTTACCAAATTTAGGACCACTTAATGTAGGATTAAATTGTCAAATTCCCGAGTCAATGTCAGTTAAGTATTTAGGTGTCATAGTCGACCATCACTTGAGATGGGACCTGCAAACAAACCAAATTGTAAAAAAAGTGAGAGGCTTGATATCAAAGTTTAAGCATCTAAAGGATTACCTTACACTTATTCATCTTAAAGTGCTCTATTTTTCACTTGTTGAGTCAATACAAAGCTATGGTATACTAGAGTGGGGAGGAGTAGCAGATTGTCATTTAAATAATGTTCATGTAATCCAGAATTGGATTCTAAAAATCACTTATAGGAAAGACTTTACCTTTTTAAGCCATCTATTATAAAATGACCTACATATTAAAGATATTGGACAATTATATTGTTTCTGAATCCTTTTATCCATAAAAAGGGTAGTATTAAATTAAGTCCAAACGAAGGTATTTACCATACAAGATGGAACGAAGACTTATTCTCTCCTAGATCCAGTAAAACTATAAGACAACGAAACACTTTTTAGCGCCAAGATTATATAGCTTATTATCCTTACAAAGACAACTCGCAAAAAAATTATCCTAAAATGGACAGAGGAGTATAACACTTATAACATGGAAAGAAACCCCAGGGCTAACGCAGACGAAGACATGTATGCCAATCCTTCCGTGAATGCCTATGCTCAGATCCGATAATGGAAAAAGAAAGATCTACGTATTTTGACGGGATTGAAGACAGAACATTGTTTTGGTAACAACTTGAGAACGATAGGTCTACAATAAAAGTCGAACTAATTCTACAGCATGGAAGACGAATTCTCAGAGCATTCTGTATACCTGCTCCGCTTTCGAAATAAGCTACAATGGATTGAACTGGATCATAGTGGAAGTTCAAGAGATTATTCCACTCATTTTTAACCAAACTTGCGTTATAGGGCGTTAAATAAATCAAAATATTTCTTTAACAATCTTACTATAAAGACCTATGGAATTTAAGTAACAAAACTAATAAATTTGTTACAAAACACAGACATTTTTCCAAAAACCGCATACTAAAACTTTAATCTATTATTCTGCTTTCTTCATTTATTACCCATTTAATAGAACCTGCATTTAAATTTTCAAAAAATGAACCAACCATACTTATTTGTTAATATAAATTTTATTTGGATTATCTGTATAAAAACGACCACATTTGAGGAAACGGATACATGTCGTTTATTAATCCACTGTTATCAAAAATATTTTATCTACAACTGTCATGTAATGACACTGATTTGACACTTATTTAAATTTTGTAATGACGTATATAGAGGGTGGCTCACGCTCAACGGGACGGAGCTTTATGGGAAAACGACCAAAGATATAAAAAATTCGTTTGGGAGGAATACGTACAATTTAAAATTTGTTAGATGTATACAGGATGTCCCACATAAATGAAAAAAAATTAGTTCATTAAAAATTATTCAAAGAGTAAACAATTAATTTCTGGGAGACTTTTTTTCCTTAAAAATTCAAATAAATCGAAAACTAATAGTAATAGGGAACCTTTAGTTAACTGACATTATTTTTGATGTAGTTTTTAATTCTAAAATAAAAAACAGGGTGTTCCAATAAAAATAATATAACTTTGTATATTTTCTCTTATGTGGGACATCCTGTATACATCTTAAAAATTTTAAATTGTAGCCGTCTGTAACCTACGTATTCCTTCCAAACGAATTTTTTATAACTTTGGTTGTTTTCCCATAAAGCTCCGTCCCGTTGAGCGTGAGCCACCCTGTATATATGGCCACAACTTTTAGATCTTAATGTAGAGTATTTTCTAACAATTGTTACTAAATTATTACCATCAATGTTCCCAGATGTAACAAAAAAATCTCGCGATATTTTTTTTTTGGTATTTGGAATGACAATTTGATAGCACAATCCTTGATATTTTACATTTTCTATCAATAAATTTGTCAACTCTTCTCTCCGACATGCACCAGCCAAACCAATAATTAGCACAACCTTAAAATGTATATTACATTAATATTTATTCACATTTATACAAATATCTATTATAAATATATTACCTTCATGCATAAAAATTTCTCATCTCCTGCATTTACAATAAACTTAGTTATTTATTCTTTCGCAAATACCTTAGATTTCTTAGGTTTCTCCCCTTCTGATTTTCGTTTTAACAATGCTATCAAATTGATATGTTTTTTGATATCGATATTTTGTTTAATAAGTAATTCTGTCCTCAACATCGAGTAGTAACACCAAAGAGATGTAGGCCTCTGTAATTTACTCAATTCGTTAAAATATACCATTTGTATTATTTAAAATTTTCTTATCTTTACACCATTTCTCATATTTGTCATAAGTTAAATGATATCTCTCACGTGATTTCTGTGGTACTAAATTTTCTATTACGCCGATTGCTGCATTTTCAATATCTTGTGGAAGATCATCTTCACTTGAAGATATAATTGATAATATATGTACTTGTAATGGTTATTTGAACGACGTTAAGTCAGAATTTTTACGATTTTAAACGCCACTTTGACAGAAGTTGATTATTAATTCCGTTGCTATGGTTACAAAATACTGACTGCCGACATAATTTTATTCAACAATTTCGAATTTTTGGAGTTGTCACATACTATGATTACTATACGGTGCAAGAGAGAGGTCCGACACGCCCAACATATGGTGCGGCCATTTTGATTCCTATGCCACAGTTTATAGCTAAAGCACAGTTTATAGCTTAAAAGAATCAGTTCGCTCACTCGGATCAATTGGATGTTCCAAAATAATATCCACTCCAGTGATATAAATTTAGGATGCGCAAAAGAATGCTGTTTGAATATAGGCGGTTGTCATATATTGTATTGATTATGAATTGATTCTGTATGCGCCAGGGATACAAATCCGAGTTGCGCAGTATATAAACTGGAACATTAAGATCAAAAGTGCCGACGCAGAGTGAGCGAATTGATTCTTTAAGCTATAAACTGTGGCTAAAGAATCAGATCGCTCAATCTGCGTCGGCACTTTTGATCTCAATGTTCCAGTTTATATACTCGGATAATACAATATATGACAACTACCTATAATAAAGCAGCAGTCTTCTGCGCATCCTGAATTTGTATTCCTGGAATAAATGTTATTTTGGAACTTTCAACTGGTCCGAGTAAGCTAACTGATTCTTTAGCAATAAACTGTGACTGCAAAAATAATAATTACTGACACTGACAGCAACAAGCAACATATCAGGTGCGTTTTAATCATCCGCTTCTACTTCCGGAATTGTCGGTTAAGTCGTTATAACCTGTCAGATTAAAACAAGAAAACCGACAATTCCGCAGACACTCAGAAAGCTGCGCAGTGCGACCATTCTCCGTATAGTAAAAGAAAATCAAAGTATGTGGGAGTTGTTGTTACATGGCAGTTGTAGATAAAATATTGTACAATATTCGTGCCGGTAACACATTATTAAGGTACGTTTACATCTGACATTTATTGCTTGAGATTTATGTCTGACAGTTGTTTAGTCCAGTGTAAACATTCAAAAATATATCTCCGAGAGACATTTTTGTGTGTTTACACTGGATTAAACAACTGTCAGATATAAATATCATGCAATAAATAACAGATGTAAATGTACCTTTAATATATTTATGTGATTGCCCAACTCGTGCTAACGTACTCGTTGGGCAATTTTCACATACGTATATTAATAATGTTCATACTGCACTTATATAGTAAATATCTATTTTAGTTTCAGATGACGATGAATCTGTAAATCAATCTCAAGCTCATATGAAGTTCTTCCTCTATGAGGATGAAAACGGAACAATCCAAGTAGAACACCTCGTCAACGTAACAATAAACCTCACTGCCTCCGCATCTGACGTAGCCTATTTTTATTATAGTAGATCGAATCCTGAAAATGGGGTAGAAATTCATAGTAACAACATCCATTCACTTCAAGAAACGGCTTATAGTGCAACGAAAGATACCATCTTCATAATTCATGGATGGAAAGGCAGTAAAGAGTCAGATATTAACTCACATATCAGAGAATATATTATAAAGTAAGAATGCCTCAAGGTTCAGTTTTTGACCCACTTAATGTGTTTTTATGAATAGCTCTTCAATAGATGCAAAAGTGCAAATTAGGTCAACTGACTTACCGAAATGTCTAAATAATAATTTATTTCAGAGACCATGACGTCAATATCTTTGTTGTTGACTGGGGTCCCGTAGCTGGTAGGAACTACGTCTCAGCACAAGGTAGAGTAAAAAGAGTTGGAGAATACGTAGCAGATTTTGCTAGGAATCTGAGTTCGAATTTTGGCTTGGATCTGAGAAAAATAAAATTCGTGGGTCATTCTTTGGGTGCCCATGTCGCTGGTAATGCTGGAGCTGCTTTGAACGGACAAGTTGATAGAATTGTTGGTGAGTATTTTTGTAAATTTTATCATTTGGGTAGTTACGTAGTTACGTTGGGTTAGTTTTTATTATCCATCTTCAAGATGGATATCTTACCATCTTGTCAAAAAATATGATTTGTGCTGAATAGTAAACCGCCTTCCTATTTTGACGAACCTCGTATACGACTGATAAAATTTGATATTTGATAATTGTATTTTAGACCATGCTCGACTTTTTATGAAGAATATTTTTTTTCCTAATATTAGCAATAAAAAGTTTTTCATATACCGCCAACTTCCATAGACAGATTGTTATTTAAGACGAAATGTATCTACCAAACCCTTTCAAGACTTTTTCGTAGTATCTTATTGGAAAAACTTCATTAAAAATATATCATATTGTAGTATATGTTTATAGATTGTTATGTTTTTTTTCTGTTCCTGCATGAATCTTCATTCAAAAAGATGTTTAATCAAGAACCAATAGGTTATGAGCCCAGAGACTTCTTAGCTGTGTCTGAAAAAAGCAAGCACTCTAGGAAATAGCGCCTACAATAGAAAACTCATGTTAACCGTCCGAAAATTTAATTTTTTTTTTCTTCCAAACTATATGCGTGGCAGGCTAGGGGAGCTAGGGGAGGGAAAGAAAATAAAAAAAATCATGTTAACCGTCTAGAGCAAATGGTTATCATAAGTTTATGTATCTAAATAATAGACGAACCATCGTCCATTGGCGGTTCGCGAACGGGGACTTAAAAAAAAAAGCATTAGATGTTGCCAGTCCAAACTTTGTTTATATTGTTTCTTTGGTCATGTATATCATGAAAAAAATACGGTCAGAAATGGTAGTGTGACCATTTTTTAATAATTTGATCCCAAAATTTTGGAAGTGTTATAAAAAATTTCAATAATTTCGAAAAATAGGTTAAAATTAATAAATTTTTCCGATCGCCTATTTTGAGGTCCATTCAGTCCAAAATAATGATAAAATGTTGCCGTCAGAAAAATTCAGTTTATTTAACCTCCTCCCAAGAGTTTAAAAATTAAAACACTGATTTTGCGTGGTAAAGATTCAAAAACGTTACAGAATATATTATATTTTATATCTGATATTTATGTTTACCTACAATCCTCTATGCTAAATCCGACAACATTTATTAACCTTTACTCTTATCATATCATATAATAATTTCGCGTTTTTATGGAATATTGATCAATTTAAAAATTATTCTAAAAACGAACAATTAGAATTATCTCAAAAAGTTGAATGACAAATGACAAAACTCGCAATAAACGAGACATAACAGCCGTGGAACTTGTTAAAGAATTCCAATATTTACAAAATTTTGATAAAAAAGTTATTACATCTCCAGAAGAAACTTTAAATTTTATAACAATTACCAACTTAGTAAATTCTTTTTCTAATACGAGCATAATACTTTGTATTTTATTAACAATGCCGGTTTTGGTTGCTACCGCAGAACGGTATTTTTCAAAACTCAAAATAATAAAAAATTATTTAAGATCGACCATTAGGCAAAACCGACTAAGTAATCTTGCTTTCATTTCATAAGAATCGAACCAGCTAAAAGAATTAGACACCGAAGATTGAATTAAACAATATGCAAAAATTAAAGCACGAAAAGCTCAATTTACTTAGCAAAAATATTAATAACAATACCTAATACATGGATATTATATTGTTAGAAGTTAAAAAAAATTAACTTTAAAATTATTGTTTTTAAATTATTTACCACCCTGTATAGCCACTTCATAAAACACGTGTTAACATGGTTTTATAACGTTTTATTAAATATCTCGTAAAGAATGTTTAAAATGTAATTAAGAAACAAAATAAAGAATATCTTTAACGGCATATTGCCTATCACTTCATAGCGTCCCCGCTCTCCTGGTCCTGGACACTGCAATGGGTAGACGTGGTACCGTTGACCCCAGTGGTGGCGATATTCTAATTCTCTGACTCTAACACGGCCATACTGACGGGTGTTTTGTTTTCGAAACATATATCCATTTCCACTGTGACGTCTTCATTTTCTGTGAAAAAAGGTAAAACTTGGCCTACATGCCAAGGTCCAATATATACTTTCATGACCCCAAACTTCAAGATATTGTAATCTTGAAAAAAAAATCATAAATAAAATATTTCATGGGAGTATGCTGACTCCATGCTTCAATTTATAATCCTAAAAAAAATTCATAAATGAAACATTTCATGGGAGAGAATTCGCATGGAGAATTCTCCATGCGGAAGTATGCTAACCCCATTCTTCAATTTTTATCATGAAAAAATAATCAATAAATATTTTATGGGAGTATGCTGACCCCATCTTTCAATTTGTAATCCTGAAAAAAACAATTCATAAATATTTCATGGGAGTATGCTGACCCAATCTTTCAATTTGTAATCCTAAAAGCAATTCATATATATTTCATGGGAGTATGCTGACCCCACCTTTCAAGGATTATTATTCGTCTTTAATACATGAAATATAACATTAAAGATGGGTGTATGCTGACACCTTTCAAGGCTTATTACTTCATCCTTGATATATAAAATATAACATTAAATATGGAAGAATGCTGACTCCATGTTTCAACGCTTATTATTTCATCCCTGCAACAATAAAAATCAAAGCAGTCAAAACATTTACTTAACCTTCAGTTTCAAAAAATTGAGTCTTGCAAATCAGTCACTAATGATAACCCGCTCGGCCAAAGCCTGACTGGTTTAACATTTTTCGGGGACGAAATTTTTGTCAACGACTCTATTTTTGTTTACTCTGATCTACCATTTCTCTACTCCGATCTACCATCTTCGGCGGAAATTTTCCATCCAAGAAAATCATTTTTTTTTGTTTTGTTTGTGAAAACATTTTCAAATATTTAGGAAAAACCATGCTTTTTCTAAGGCTACTAAAACTTGCTTAAAACAAATCAAACCCTGTAAAACAATGTAGCTAAAAGTCGACATGGCAATAAAATTATTAATTAAATTAATTTTCATAGCACAGTTGTTTATTGCTGAAACAGAAAACTAGTAAACCACAAATTGTACTAGTTTTTATTTTAATAATCTGACATAATTGCTCTCGATATTGTTCAAGTACTTTTAATTGATTTAAACTAATTCCAAAATCCACGGAAATTTTTAAAACATCCGGTAACTGTCGCTTCATAATAAGTATCTACGTATCATTATAATCAGTAACATAAACATTAAACGTGTACCTAGACTAAGCTGGTTTGCCTGTAATTTTAACATCTGTTCTGAACTTATATTTTAAAATAAACTGTCTCAAGTTATGCCCATAATAGAAATTTCCTGTAAATTAACCCGGACTGTTCAATAAATGTTTCACACATCAGAGGGACACTTAAACTCGGTATAAATAAACCCATATAGGTTGATTAATGTTTATTTCCATTTACACACTTGCTTTGCTCTGAAGAAACAAAATTAATTGTATGTGTTTTTATCTTTGAGTCTTTAAGAAAACAGTTTTCAGTTACGTGACCTGACTTAAATCAAAAAATAAAATGTTTATTTTTTTCTGACTAGCTAAGGCAATATCGGCATTATTATGAATGGTTGACTCTTAAATTTTTATCTCACTTAAAATTCTGGGAGTGTTAAATTATTTTGGAGGAACAATTATTGTTTCTTATACATTATTATAATTTCTTTTTCTTTTTTTTTATATCCAAATATCCATATTTTAAAATGGTGCCTAAATATGAAATTAAGTCACTAATTGAATTGAAATCTGTAATAGTAACGGATTCTTGTACATTTCATTAATCCCATAAACAATTAATTCAGTTAAAAAATGAAACCTTCTGTACTCCGATTAGCACGCAAATTTTCCACTAAAGTAACCTTTCTAATTTGAACATAAAAATGTATAAAAATTAGAGAGACCTGTCAAAAGAAAAGGCTTCAAAAAGTAAACCCAACAATTTTCTGTGTGAAAATGATTTATAAAAATTCAAATTTAAAAAAAAAGTTTCAATAGAGCAACACTTTTTGTACGAACATAAGCTACATAAGAACTAAAGAGTGAGCTGTCAAAAGAATAGGCTACAATTTTCTCTATTAAAATTACTCTTAAAAGTTCAAATTTAAAACTAAATTTTTTTTCAATGAAGCAACTTTTTTTGTTTTAAACATAAAATCTATACAAATTAGGTTGAGCTGTCAAAAATAGAGGCTTTAAAAAAATAATCGTCCAACAATATATATGTGAAAATTACTGAATGAAGTTAAAATTTAAACTTAAATTTTTTCAGTAAAGCAATCCTTTTTTTTATAAACGTAAGCTGTATAAGATTTACAAAGTGAGCTGTCAAAATAATAAACTACCATTTTCTGTGAAATTAAATTAATATCTTAATGTTGGAGACCAATTCTCAAACCATATTTTAGCATCGCCCAATAAAAAGCGTTCAACTCTTACCAGTATCTGCAGGTCTTACCACTTAAATTTCTCTTTACCTTTTCGAACTGTTGTATCCAAACCTTAGTATCATCGGTATTTGACCAAAATAAGAGCAAACCAACTTGTTCTGGAGTTGTTCTAAGGTTTTTGAAACTGTGCAACATCTCTGCGAATAAATCATCTTTAATACATATTTAGACACTTCGTATTAAATGTAAAAACGTGAACAGGATCCGCACTTCTGATGTTAGAAGTTAAAAGAATTAACTTCAAAATTATTGTTTTTAAATTATTTATCACCCTGTATACTAAACACCCTGTATAGCCACTTCATAAAACACGTGTTAACATGGTTTTATAACGTTTTATTTAATATCTCGTAAACAATGTTTTAAATGTAATTAATTAAGGAACAAAATAAAGAATGTCTTTAACCGCATATTGCCTATCACTTCATAGCGTTCGGCTGGTCCAACGTCAAGTCGCCGCTCTCCTGGTCCTGGACACTGCAACGGGCAGACGTGGTAACGTCGACCCCAGTAGCGGCGATATCCTAATTCACTGACTCTAACAATGTTAACCTTTAAAATTAGGCATGTTGCATTTTGAAAATAATATATTTGTTATTATTTGTCGATCAGTTTCATCCTGTGATATATAAACTAGTATTTTTACTTTATTAATTTTTTTTGTGCTTTTGTATCATAATATATTACATTTGAAGAAACTAACATACAAAAATTTTAAGTTGTAATACTGTTAGAATATACTTCTGTTTTCTATAAGTTTATAATTATGTTATGTACCTCAATGAGAAAATAATTGTATGGCTTGTACTTGTAAAACATAAAAATAAAAACAAATTTATGAAAATTATTTTTAAAATTATTTTTTAATAGTGGATAACTTAACCCGTATCTGTACTCACATATAAACGTAATACAAATTAGGGGCGTTATTTTAAATTTGCCCAAGGGCGCCAAAAGTAATAGTATATTATAATTTTAATCCCTAGAGTTTAAAAGTAAAATTTTAATCCATACTGAGTAAAATTGCTGTTTCATTTCTTGAAAATAGGGACTAAAAATATACCTTTAGTCCTTAAAGTGCATGTACCAAGCGACTAAAGTGCCACTTCTAATCCCGAGAGTGAAGATTGTTGCCCGAGCGGAGCGAGAAGAATTTTACTAAAGTATGGGACTTACGTAAACGTATAAAAAAAGTGTGAGCTTAAGACCACGCAATAGACGTGAAAACCCCTATTTTCGGGAAAATCGATAAATTTATTAGAGGTCCTTTGTTATATTAGCTCCTGAATAAAGTAGTTTGCTATGGTTTCTATGGGTTTTGTTATTTAATAATAATAATAATATAATACTCTCCCTAATTCACCCCCTTACGAGTGAATTTCAACCCCTGAAGTCGACTGAACGACTTGTGTAGGGGAAGGGACGGCTATAATTATTATTTGCCGTGGCGCTCCGGGGCGACATAAAGATGATTGATGGTGCCATTTGACTTACAGGTGAGGAAAACCCGGAAAACCTCACCCACCATCATCTAACTAACATTTTTTTAACTAAAATATTTTAGTCCCAAGGGAGTAACAGTGGCACTTCAGTCCCTAAAGTGAGGGAATAAATTGCATATTTTAGTTCCTGAGGTACAAAAAATATATTTTGCAGGTCTGGATCCAGCCGGCCCACTTTTCTCCAATAACAATAAGGACAATCGTATTGATGAAACCGACGCCAATTTTGTCCAAATCATTCACACTAATGATGGGAGACTTGGCTACAGAGGACGCTTAGGACACGCTGACTATTATCCTAATGGTGGAAGGTCCCAGCCAGGTTGTGGGGTAGATCTAACTGGATCATGCGCACATTCCAGATCTTATGCTTACTATGCTGAGTCATTAAAAAGTGATAGATTTCTGGCTAAAAACTGTGACAGCTATAATGATTTTACCAATGGGATATGTAGGAATAAGAAATCTAGTATGGGAATGTTTAATGTAGATACTAGGTAAGTAATATGTACGTCACTTAAGAAAAATGATTAAAATACCAAGATGGATGTTTCAACAGGAATAACCAATGGATGCTTAGAGAAAGTGCTTTGTTATGGTCTTTACTGCAAACAAGATTTTAAAAGAAATTTCTAATAAAAATTTTGTTTTACAGCGCATCAGGAACGTACTACTTAGACACCAATAAGAAAACTCCCTGGGCAAAAGGTTAAAATATATAACTGTACATTGTAATTTATTTTATTAAATATATATTATAAAACTCCATACTACTGTCAACTTTTCTTATTTTAAATCTCACAATGTATACATAGGTTTTCCAATGGGAGAAATACCGCAGCAGCGTTCTACTGGGGCACTAGCGCTTCCAGATGCAAATGGTGGGCGTGGAGACAGTCAAAAGAGCTAGCCGTGGCAAACCTACTATAACAATATTAAAAAAGTTAATAAACTATAGTTTAAAAATATTTCAAATAAGTATTTTAGAAACATTTTAAAAACATTTTAGAACTATTTTAGAAATATTTTAGAAATATTTTAGAAATATTTTAGAAATATTTTAGAAATATTTTAGAAATATTTTAGAAATATTTTAGAAATATTTTAGAAATATTTTAGAAATATTTTAGAAATATTTTAGAAATATTTTAGAAATATTTTAGAAATATTTTAGAAATATTTTAGAAATATTTTAGAAATATTTTAGAAATATTTTAGAAATATTTTAGAAATATTTTAGAAATATTTTAGAAATATTTTAGAAATATTTTAGAAATATTTTAGAAATATTTTAGAAATATTTTAGAAATATTTTAGAAATATTTTAGAAATATTTTAGAAATATTTTAGAAATATTTTAGAAATATTTTAGAAATATTTTAGAAATATTTTAGAAATATTTTAGAAATATTTTAGAAATATTTTAGAAATATTTTAGAAATATTTTATAAATATTTTAGAAATATTTTAGAAATATTTTAGAAATATTTTAGAAATATTTTAGAAATATTTTAGAAATATTTTAGAAATATTTTAGAAATATTTTAGAAATATTTTAGAAATATTTTAGAAATATTTTAGAAATATTTTAGAAATATTTTAGAAATATTTTAGAAATATTTTAGAAATATTTTAGAAATATTTTAGAAATATTTTAGAAATATTTTAGAAATATTTTAGAAATATTTTAGAAATATTTTAGAAATATTTTAGAAATATTTTAGAAATATTTTAGAAATATTTTAGAAATATTTTAGAAATATTTTAGAAATATTTTAGAAATATTTTAGAAATATTTGTGTAATAACTTTAAAGATTTTGTATACATGTACATACAAATTTGAAATTTTAATAGAAAAAATTGTACTTGTTATTGACCTTAAGATATAATCGTATTTTAGGAATCAGCTGTATGATTATTATTTAATGTCATACATTTTATTTATAAAACAAATTAGGAAAAGCTAACCTAAATACCATTAAACATTTATTTTTGTTTTCCTTAAGGTTTTGGCTTTGGTAATTATATCCATTTGCCACAGATAAGTATTAAAATATCGAAAATGAAATAAATAAAATTTTAAATAATATCATATATCTAATTGTATGATTCCTAGAAAATTTACTAATAAATCAAATATGATTTTATTTTGAGTACTTAAAAGATGAGTTAAGTTTTTGGGATATTGTATGTTTTTGTTACGTAAGTCTAGGATTAGATCGGAACAGTGTTGCTGATGATATGAGCAGACAAAAAAATATGAATTAGGTCCGCAACAGTCTCATTATCACAGGAGCATATATTTGTATTTACAATGCCTATTCAATATAAGTGAGCCGGAAATTTCCCTAATCTAATGGACAAGTTAAACGCTTTGTCGATACTTTTAAGCATGGTATCAAAAAACTTAGAGAAGAGGAGGGGTTATTAGAAGCATTGCATATGTTTTTATGGAATTATCGTGCTACTCCCAATAAAGCTACAGAAGTATCACCAGCAGAACTTATGTTGGGCCAGAAAATAAAAACCCGACTGTACATGTTAAATTTTACTCAATAAACTAGTTATTTTGTAAATTAAAGTCAAAATGAATAGTTCAATCATAAACATGAAGCCACAGTTTAAAGTTGGTGATTTAGTTTTTGCAAGAACAATTGTTTGTATTATATAACGTGTTATTAGAGAATGATTCTATAAGACATTTAAGATTGATTCGTTCACATCCAAATCAATTGAGGCCTAGATGATCTCCTACAAATAATTTAGTTTCAAACTCTTATTGCAAGTCCTTGCCGTTGGTTCTTATGGATGAATTTACTACTTTTTCCAATGATCATTCAAAAGAAGCTAAATCAAAAGAAAATTATGAAACCTTAGATATTGAATATGTACGACCACCCATAAATCAAATTGTCGAACAGGAAAATACCATAGATTCAACACCGCCTTTAACATCTAGTATACAGTCAACTACCAGGCAGTCTCAGCGACAATCAAAACTTTCAAAACGACTAAATGATTATGTGTTGAATTAAAAAAAACGAAGATGTTATTTAATTCATTGTCATGTTTTGGAATTAAATGTTAAACACTTTATTAATATTTTTATATTGTTGATAGTAGAAATACAATAATTACTAACTTCCACACAGAGCTTAATCAACATTTGCCAAAAAATTAAAACTTTAAACCTATATGGAACAATCCTCCGGTCCAAGCGGAAAATGCAATAAAAAACGCGCCTGCTATCAACGTGTTAAGGACCACCCTGTATAGAGTTTGAAATTCATATAAATGAGATTTATCATATATTATTGAAAAGAGATCTGTGACGCAATTCAAATCCTGGCCGTTCCCGGTATACTCTCGAGAAGTATACGCGAATTTCGCTTCCATCTGGAATTTTCCTTAATGAATGAAAACACAATCGAAACAAAATAATGCAATGATGTGTCAAGCGGAATTCGGTTGTGATGCGAGGATTTGAGAGGGTCGGAGGGGTGTTGGTTCTATCCTCGGTTTGTTACCAGTAAACAATTTAACATCCTTCCAGTATTTAGAACAAGTTGTAAAGTGTATGTGTTGAACACACATATACATTTTAGTTACAGGATGATGCTTATCAAATATAGAAAAAAATAATATTGTAACAAGTGTCTATTGAACACTCTATTAAACATTTACTTACCGGATAATGCGCCTAGAAAAACCAACGCTTATTTAATATATTTATAATATATATAATATATTTAATTTAAAAATTGTAGGAGACCAACAAATATTACATTTGGAACTGAAGATTTTAATAGAAACACAAAATTCAAAGAATAGTAAGAAAAAATTACACCTACAAAAAGTTAAAGTTAATTTCCCACCAACAGAAATATGGTGTGAAAAAAATAATTATATTTTCAAACCTCAAATTCCCAAGTCACTACGTTATAGTATTTTCACTTAAGTACATAACTTGGCACATACAGGAGGTAAGAGTACCTTAAAAATGATCAAAAATAGATATGTTTGGCCTAGGATGAGTAAAGATATATATTCCTGCTCAAAGTCTTGTATCAGTTGCCAAAGAGCCAAGATTTCAAGACACACAAAATCAGCTCCGAGTGATTTTTCGGTTCCAAAGGTAGGTTTCAACATATACATATAGATATTGTTTTACCTCTTGAACCTTCAGGGAATTGTTCATATTTATTAACTCTTATAGATAGATTCACTAGGTGGGTAGAAGCTTACCCTTTAGCAACAGTTACCACAGAATTAATTATAAAAACTTTAATAAACAATTTATATAGCTCAATTTGGCGTACCTCATAGCATTACGCATGACCAAGGTAGCCAATTCGAGTCACAATTATTTAAAGAATTTAGTAAAAAATTAGGTTTTAAAAATTTACATACCACTACCTATCATCCGGAAGCGAACGGAATGATAGAATGTTTCCATAGGACATTAAAAGCATCTCTTATAGCTAAACTCTATAATAATAATTGGAAAGACGAGTTGCCATTAATTCTGTTAGGTTTGAAAACTGCGGCAAAGAAAGATTTGAATTATTCTTCTGCTGAATTAGTTTATGGACAAACATTAAGATTACCAGGCGATTTTTTTATTGAAAATAACGAAACGTTTGATACAGATTCATTTTTAATTAAATTACAAGAAAATTTTGATAATATTAAACCCTCTAAAGTAACTAGACATGGCATAACGAAAACTTTTATTTCACCAGATTTGATGAAAAATGATTTCGTTTATGTTAAAGTTCAGGGTATCACCAGGGTATCACCCCTTCTTTTAAAGGACCATATAGGGTGATTAGTTGAAACGATAAGGTTTTTAAAATTTTAATTAATGGTAAAGAATCATTAATCAACATAGATAGGTTGATGCCAGCCTTTTTGTTAGCTGAACAAGATATTGTTCATAGCGTTGTTCAAAAACCAGTTAAAAAGGTTTTTTTTTGTATTAGGCCCAATAACTTACGGTTAGTATTGTAATGTGGGTTCATGGGCGTCGTTTGGAGAGGGGGCAAGGAGGGGCAGTTGCGACTTAATCAACAACGCGTAAGATATGCATTACGAACAACAATCTCATAGAAATAATAATATTCAGGCTAATATAGTTGAAGAATATTATAGGTTAATTATATTTATTGCAAACTGCGGATAATTCGAGCACTTTAGAGCGATATTTTGTAATTTTGGCGTATCAAATACACGTATACGTTTTACTTTTTATAAAAAAAAATAAGTTAAAAACTATAAAATGAGCAACCAGAGTTGCTATGTTGCAAATTATACTAGCAAAAAAACTGTAAATTATATACATTTACAGAAGCAAATTCGAAATTAAATCAAATAAATAAATGGACAGCTGTATAATAACAAGAAAAAAACCTTTATTTTTATAATAATAACAGTAATACTGGAAATAATAGACATCAGAAAAGGTTTTAAATAAACAAATTAATATTTTATTATTCTTCAACATCCCTTCTTGTGAATTATTGATAGAAAACCAGTTTTAATAATTAATTTCTATGGGTTTTTTCGAACTATAAATTAAAAAAATATAAATTACAATCGCAAATATACCAATTATTTTTGTTAATACGTTTTAATTCTACGTTATTATATAATAGAAATGTTTTTATTTTGACATTATTTAACCTATTCTTCAATGACAACTTATAAGGTTTAGGCAAGATCTCATACATTTTCTCGTAAATACCGGCCTCTGTTTTATTATTGATTTTTATTGATTATACTACTTTTCTTAGCTGCAGTATTAGAAATATATAATAATAATAATAATAATAATAATAATAATAATAATAATAATAATAATAATAATAATAATAATAATAATAATAATAATAATAATAATAATAATAATAATAATAATAATAATAATAATAATAATAATAATAATAATAATAATAATAATAATAATAATAATAATAATAATAATAATAATAATAATAATAATAATAATAATAATAATAATAATAATAATAATAATAATAATAATAATAATAATAATAATAATAATAATAATACTGGTGTGGAGTTGCCAATCTCCCATCTAGCGCGTCCCCAGGTGGTGGATAGGGGAAAGCTACCCAGATATGGGTGGTACCGATCAAATCGGCGTGAACCAAAATTGGCACTAAGGAGTAAACCTTATAAAAAATCCGTAATCTAAGGTGTAAGACATCGTGCCAAGAGATGCATGGCTATACGGAGTTAGTCTCGAACGATTCCCTGTGAGACCAGGCGACCCTCACTTGTACCTAGCCTTACCGTAGTAAGGGAGCACTGCTGCGGTGGACCTGTAGTTCTGCCCGACTCGTGGGAATTATATGGATACTTTAAATAGCAATAAACCTAACTTGGATTTAGGGGCTGGATCCAAAGCTAACGTTACACAGCACCAAACAATAACGAATCAGGAGACGATGGGCCCTGCGCCTCGGTTCTTGATCGTTAAAAGAAAAGAAGGGGATTTCAATAATACGAATCCCTTTCTAATACAAAAGTTTATATATGGAAAAGTTGGAGAGGTAAAAAATCTGAAGAAAATTAAGGATGGATTACTGATAGAAACAAAGTCTGCAGCACAGTCAAAAGTAATAGTAGGTATGAAAAAATTTTTAGAATATGATATAGAAGTATTACCACATAATAGATTAAACTATGCTAAAGGTGTCATAAACTGTAGGGATCTTCTAAACTGTACCGAACAAGAAATCCTGGATGAAATAAAAGATCAAGGAATTTTAGAGGTTAGAAGAATTAAGTCGAAACAAAACGGTATACTAGTCGATACACCTAACCACATTGTAACATTTAATTCTACAAATCTACCAAAAGAAGTAAGAGTAGCTTTTTACCAGTTGAAAGTACGACCCTACATCCCATCCCCATTACGATGTTTTCGCTGTCAAAGATTTGGCCACACAGCTATAAAGTGCACTAAAGATCAAGTATGTGTATGTGGAAAACCAATTCATACTGGCAATCCATGCTCACCTCCTGTGAGTTGCATCAATTGTCAAGGTTCACATGCTGCTACATCCAAGGACTGTCCCATATTTAAACAAGAGGTCGCTATACAGGAAGTAAAAATCAAAGAAAATCTATCATATTTTGAGGCAAAGAAAAAAGTTGTCATAAATACGCCAAAACCTAATTTTTCATATGCAAAAGCTAGTGCATCGTCATCAATACCCCCTCCCCAAACGTTTAAACCTCAGGACCTTATAAAAGATTTAATTCCGGTCCTTATTAACGCTTTAAAAAGTAATTTTACTATCGTTCCTATTTCACATTCTTCTAGTATTCCCCTTTCCTCTAACTTATCAAATATGCTTCCTCCAAAGGAACCTTCACAAGAATCTAATCTTTCTCAAATGTCTAAGCGTGGCAGATCAGATAGTTCTGATTTAGATTCCAATTTTAGTGAAACATCATGTAAGTCTCAAACTACAACCAAGAGAAAGAAGAAAGGGTGGCCTAAAGGCATGCCTAGGAAAGGAAGCGTAGAATCGGACATAGGAAATGAGATACTGAAGCATCTACCTTTAGGAGGTAGTGAGTCACAGTAATTAAACACATAATTTTATATTTAAAACTATTTTTATATTTATACATACATTTTATTTACTTACGATTTATTTTTATAATTTATTTCTATTCTATTTTATTTTATCTATTCTACAACCCAAATGAATAATTGCACCCAATTTATTCAATGGAATTGTAATGGTATACGGCTACATACCCCCGAGTTACAAATTATTAAAAATAACCTCACTCCATTAGTCTTAGCTATCCAAGAAACACATTTAAAGCCAACGGAAAGATTTACACTCCGTGGTTTTAGTGTTTTTCGTAAAGATGTTGAACCAGATCATAGAGCAAGAGGTGGTGTTGCAATTTTTCTCAATGAAACAATACCTGCAAAAGAAATTAGGTTAAATACTAGAGTACAAGCTGTTGCTATACAAATAGAAGTTCCAATTAAACTTTCCATATGTAATATTTATCTCCCAGATATACACTGGCATATCCAAGAGATCAACGATTTACTCAGCCAACTACCTCAGCCATTTCTTATCATGGGAGATTTTAATGCTCATTCTCCCTTATGGGGCTCTCTTACTAGAGACACCAGAGGCAGACGTATTGAAAATTTAATTGAAGAAGAAAATATATGTCTCCTAAATACCGGCCAATATACTCACTTTAACTCTAGATCCAACTCTTTTTCGGCAATTGATTTATCTCTTTGTTCCCCTAATATAGCTCCCCGTTTCTCGTGGTGTCCTTTGGATGATCTTTATTCTAGTGACCACTTTCCCATTCAAATTAAAATAGACATCCCTAGCCAGTCCATCTCCATCGCTGAAAGGTGGCTTATTAAAAAAGCAAATTGGAACGAATATTCTCAAATAGTGTCTATACCTAATCCTGATGACTTTAACAACATTGAAGAAGCCGTAAATGCAGTTACTAATTCCATCTTGCTCGCTGCTCATGAAACCATACCAAGAGCTAAAAGTCGTAAGCTATCCAAAGCGGTTCCATGGTGGAATGAAGATATACGTGTAGTGATATTAGATCGCAAAAGAACTTTAAGAACATTTCAAAGATATCCTACTCAACAAAACCTAATAGAATTTAAAAAAATTAGAGCTAAGGCGAGAAGAATAATCAATGAAGCAAAGAAAAGGGCTTGGGAAGATTATGTATCTACTCTCACTACGGATACCAATGTAAGTGAACTTTGGAAAAAAATTAAAATCATAGCAGGTAAAAACAACAACCTAATTCCACAGGCATTAAAAATCAATAATGAGTTTGTCACCGAAATTGAAAATATATGTGAAGCTTTTGCTGACCATTTTGAGGCTGTGAGTAGCTCTCAAAACTATAATTTAGAATTTCAAGAGTTGAAATTACGAGAAGAAGCCTATCCCTTAAAATTTGATACAAAAATAAAGTTGCAATATAATGAACCATTTATTTTAGAAGAACTGGAACATATTTTAGGATCCTGCAACGAAAGTGCAGCGGGTTGCGATTCTGTTATGTACGGAATGATATATCACCTTTCAAGGAGCGATAAATGTAAGATATTGAAGCTTTATAACAAAATCTGGCTTTCTGGAAGTTACCCCAGCAACTGGAAAACAGCCATTATTATCCCTATCCCTAAAATTAATGCATCGGATACCGAACCTAAAAATTATCGACCTATATCCCTCACATCATGTCTAGGAAAAATATTCGAAAAAATCATAAATTTAAGACTCACCTGGGTATTGGAATCCAAATCTTTCCTTTCAAAGCGCCAGTTGGGTTGCCGACGTAACCACTCCACCATTGATGCATTAGTGGCTCTGGAAAATAGTATTCAAAATTCCTTTTTAAATCGAGAACATCTTGTAGCGGTAATTTTGGACTTGACAAAGGCATACGATATGACTTGGAGGTATGCAATATTGAAGCAACTTCACCTTTGGGGATTTAGAGGAAATTTGCCATCAGTCTTATGCAGTTTTCTTTTAGAAAGACATTTCCTTGTAAGAGTTGGTAATCAAGAATCATCCCGAAAAAGGCTAGAGAATGGAATACCACAGGGATCAACTCTCAGTGTTACTCTGTTCGCGATAGCTATCAATTGTCTTGTAGATAATATCCCTGATAGTATCGAGGCTGTCTTATATGTTGACGATCTTACTGTTTACAGCCACGGCCACAATATGAACTTTTTGGTACGTAACCTGCAAGAAGAAATAAACAGATTAGAGGAGGTTGCAAAATCTCGAGGATACAAGTTTTCTGCTCCAAAATCTCAAGCCATCCATTTCTGTAGACTAAGATCCCCTCATCCAGATCCTCTATTATATTTAGATAATAGGGAAATTGAAATCGTAGAACAATTCAAACTACTAGGAGTTGTTTTTGACAAAAAATTATATTGGAGTAACCACATCGAGTACCTAATCACGAAATGTCGCAGAATCATTAACGTAATGAAATGTATGGCAAGCATTAGATGGGGTTCGGATAGAGAAATACTACTAAGAGTATATCAAACTCTTATCCAATCAAGGATAGATTATGGCAGCATAATCTATGGTTCTGCTAGGCCATCTAAGCTAAAACTACTCGACAGAATTCAGAATTCAGCTCTGCGCTTAGCCACAGGCGCTTTTAGAACGAGTCCTATAGAAGCATTATTATGCGAAGCAGCTTCTTCACCCTTGGGTCTGCGTCGTGATATCCAAACAATTGCATATGCTACAAAGGTACAGTCTCTGCCTCAAAACCTAAACCACCATATTGTTTCGAACAAAGACAACGCGTACACTATCCGACCTACAGCAACAAGACCATCCAACATACGGTTCCTCGAACTCTCAGAAAAATATGGCCTATCGGTAGTAAGTAAAGTGGGAATCAACCAACATAATATTGCTCCATGGACGAGGATCCCTCCAAATTGCAACACTGCCCTAAATAAGTGGAAAAAGGAGACAACTTCAACATCAACATATCGTTCATTATTTTCTGAACAAGTTCACCGTTTTAATGACCACTTAATAATATACACCGATGGATCCAAAACTGAGGTAGGTACAGGAGCTGCCATAGTAATAAACAACCAAATATTCTCATGGAGTTTAGGGTTAGTATACAGCGTTTTTAATGCTGAACTTTATGCAATATGGCAGGCACTCTTGTTTTTCTTATTAAGTGAAAACAACAAATGCCTAATATGTACTGACTCGTTAAGTGCTGCAACTTCATTGAAAAACCTATTCTCTTCAAATGAT